CCAGTGGGGGCCATGTGAGAGGCAACCACACATTGATGTTTCCCTCTCCCTGTTTCTCCCTTCCTTCCCTTCTCTAAAAAAATAAATGAATAAAATCTAAAAAAAAAGAAAAAAAAAGAATGATATTTCTATCCTGAGTTCCGGCCAAGACAGAGGCATAGATAGAGACCCTTTGTTTCCTTGCACAACCAAAAGGAAGATAACAACCAATCTGAAATCAATAAACTACCAAAAACACCAGAAAATCAAACTGAATGGAACTGTGACAACAAAGGAATTAAAGAAAAAATCAACCAGAGCAACCAGACTGGTAAGGCAGTGGATCGCGCAGTGGACTCAGAAAAACCTTGGGGGTGCAGTGGACATTAGGGGAGGGTCTGGCTGCCCAGCTTCGTGCAAGGGAGGGGCTGACTTACGAGGACTCAGAGGTGCCTGTGGGCTACAGCAGTTGTGGCAGTAGGAAACGCTCCTACCAGTCTCACACAAGAGTCCGTTGAAAAGTATGGCAGAGCCAAGCAGGCCACCCTTTGGCCCCTCCCACACAGGCAGGGCTGCAAGGCAGCACAGAGGGTAGTCCTGCCCAGGTGAAAACCTAAGGCATGCCCCCTTACAACCTATCATCTGTGCCAAGACAAAGAAATATGGCCCAAAGGAAACAACAGAGTAAAGCCTCAGAAAGAGAGCTAAGTGAGGAGGAGATTGCCAAACTATCTGATGGAGAATTTAAAGTCCTGGTAATCAAAATGCTCACAAATCTGATTTAGCTTGGTTGAAAAATGAAGGAACAAATGAAAGATACCCAAAGTGAAATAAAGCAGAATGTTCAGGGAACCAACAGTAACAGGAAGGAAGCCAGGTCCCAAAGCAACGATTTGGAACAAAGGGAAAAAATAAACATCCATCAAAATGAAGAAACAAGAATACGAAAAGGTGAAGAGATTCTTACAAACCTCTGGGACAACCTGAAATGTTCCAATATCTGAATTATAGGGGTGCCAGAAGGAGAAGAGGAAGACCAAGGATGAAAACCTTTTTGAACAAATTATGAAGGAAAACTTCCCCAGTCTGGTGAAGGAAATAGACTTCCAGGAAGTCCAGGAAGCCCAGAGAGTCCCAAAGAAGTTGGACCCAAAGAGGAACACACCAAGGCACATCATCATTAAGTTACCCAAGATGAAAGATAAGGAGAGAATCTTCAAAGCAGCAAGAGGAAAGGAGAGAGTTACCTACAAAGGAGTGCCCATAAGACTATCAGCTGATTTCTCAAAAGAAACCTTGCAGGCAAGAAGGGGCTGGGAAGAAGTATTTGAAGTCATGGAAGGCAGGGATCTACATTTAAGATTACTCTATCCAGCAAAGCTATCATTTAGAATGAAGGGCAGATAAAGTGCTTTCCAGATAAGGTCAAGTTAAAGGACTTCCTCATCACCAAGCCATTATTATAGGAAATGTTAAAGGGACTTATCCAAGAAAAAGAAGATCAAAAATATGAATAGTAAAATGACAACAAACTCACAACTATTAACAAATGAACCTAAAAAGAAAGAAAGAAAGGAAGAAAGACAGAAAGAAAGAAAGACAGAAAGAAAGAGAGAAAGAAAGAAAGAAAGAAAGAAAGAAAGAAAGAAAGAAAGAAAGAAAGAAAGAAAAAACAAAAACTAAGCCAACAACTAGAACAGGAACAGAATCAGAGAAATGGACATCACATGGAGGGATTTCAGCGGGGAGGGGGAAGGGAGGAATGGGGGGAAGATACAGGAAAGAAGCAGCATAATTAGTAGGCATAAAACAGATGAGGAGAGGTAAAAAATGGTATAGGAAACAGAGGACTCAAAGAACTTATATGTACAACCCATGGGCAGGAACTAGGTGGGAAAATGCTGGAGGGTTGTGGGGGCAGAGTGGAGGGGAGAGAGGAGGAAAATTGGGAAAACTGTAATACCATAATCAATAAAAATATTAATAAAAAATAAGAATGATATTTCTCATGAACAGAAAGAGACAAACGTGGGGATGTGGATTGACTGAAATTCTCTTATATTGCCAGTGGGAGTGTCAACTGTGCAACCACTTTGGAAAATGGTTTGGGATAATCTAGTCAAGTGGAACACACTCACCAAAAAGTTTAATTGTAGTGTGTGGCTTATGAATGTTCATGCAATTGTATTTTTAGGTTAGATGTGCTTTTCTCCATGTATGGTTTGCTCAATTATAAGTTAATTAAAAAAGAATGGAAGCCTATTGGATCTGGTGACATGAAGATGATAGGTAAGCACAAGTTCTGAGAGAGGGGGAGGCTTTGGGGGCCTCGTGTTAATTCCAATTTTACAAATGGTGATACTAGAGCAGAGAGTAGTTCAGGAAGTGGACCAAGGTTGCAAAACTACTGAGTAGTAAAGCAAGGATTTGAACCCTGGGAGCAGGGCTGCTGATCCTGTTCTAACCCACTAAACCACCTTTCTCTTTATCTTTGAGAGCATAAAGGTAATGAGGATAAAGGAAACATTAGACTGGAGTATTCACACACACTAGCATCTGAGGCTAGTTTAGGAAGGGCAAGCAGACACAGCAACTTTATGCTCTTGTAGGTGTCTCTTTATCACAGTGGCTATAAAGGCTAGTTAGTGTGCAAAAGTCTCAGGACAACTAGGTATCATGCAAGGAAAGGTTAAGCATTTTACTTTACTATATTTACGTAAACAGGGAAATGTACAATATATTTTTGGAAGATTTTGAGTTAAGACACAAACTCCAATTACATATGAAAAATCATTTGTGTTGTTTAAGTATCGCCCAAATGCCAGGGAAACGCAGTACGTGCATGGTATGTTACAAGTGTGCACAGGCTCCATCCGTTCTTTCAGGGCACAGTTGTATTTTGGTCTTAGAAAAAAAATACCATATCATTAGACTTTTTTTAGAAGCATGGAAATTACAATTTTGTCATTAGGCCAGGATATAATTACAGGCCAGAGCCCAATAACTTAATATAATTAGTGTTACAGCAATCACTGAAACTACCACACAAAAGCCACGCTATGAAGCCTTAATTAAAAGAGAGGAGATTACTGTATAAAAATCATTCATTCTGTCAGCTGCTTTCATTGCAAAAGGTAGGAAGCTGCAAACAAATGGGGACCAAATGCAAGAATACAGGATCTGACCTTATATTCACAATACAATGTTATCAATGGCTATAGGTGAGAAAGAAATCACTAATAAAGAAAGAGGAGTTAACAAAAAGTTCTTGCTGCCTTAGAGGACATCTTCAATAACTGGTTTTTTGAAACTGAGTTTGCAGTAGAAATACTTCCTGGAAATAACTCAGGAAATTCTTTCCAAATTAAGAAAAGTCTTGCTGAATGAAATTATTAATTCTTTTTCTGTAATATTTTCTTAAAAGATTTTATTTATTTTTTATTTTTAGAGAGAGGGGAAGGGAAGGAGAAAGAGGGGGAGAGAAACGTCAATGTGACAGAGAAACGTCAGTCAGTTGCCTCTTGTCCACTCCCCGACGGGGACTGAATCTGCAGCCCTGGCATGTGCCCTGTCTGGAAATCGAACCAGTGACCTTTCATTTTGTGGGATGATGTCCAACCAACTGAGCCACACCGATCAGGGCTATAAACCCCTTTTCTAATACAAAGTTTACACAATCTACACATTTGATATGACTTAATCTACAATGCACCTATCTGAACTTCTTGGGAAAACACTCACAGAGATGAAATCATTTGCTTATAGTTACAGAGACAAGAACCAAAATCACCAGTGAAGTCATTCTCCGGTTCTAGCACAGCTGCTGTGTTATGCATAGCTGACCACCGTGGTGTGTGCACCTAAAACAAATTAATCAGTCTCTAGGCCTCCAAGGCCTGAGTGGTCGCACTTGCTCATTCTTCTGCTTGGGGTTTTCTCCACTTGCCCAAACAGTTTCAAGATTCACTGAGTTCTGTCTCAGGTGCCGTCTCTTCTTTGGTTGCCTCCCCACCTCTCACAAGGTAAGCAGACCCCTCTGTGACCCCACAGCACATTCTGCTCAGATGCTCTTCCTGGAAGTGTCCTTTGACTTTTCTTTCACCTCTGCACTCTCTGTGCATTATCTGCATTCACATGTCTAGACAAGTGCATCACCTGCACAGCATTCTGTAACACTTTATAAAAAATTGACTCTCTCAAGAGCAACTGAATAGCACAAGTGTCTTGTAGCACATGTAAAAATGACTTAGAAAAAAACTCGGAATCGTTTTTAGACCTATCACATTTATCCAAACCTGACAAAATACAATATAGGTAGCAAGAAAAAGGAAACAGAAGTATAGGAAAATATGTCTTCAGTGGTTTCAAACTTGCTTTAAACTACAAGCATTGCCTGAAGTATAGAGGTGAAAGTGATGAATGTTAAGTGGGTATTTTTTCACTTTAACTGACTGATCAGAAGAGCATTTACAAACCCCTGACTGATGTCTTGAGCTGATAAATCAACACCAAAGGAGAACATCTCAAGCACATTTATCATTAAGACAAACAGGCTATTCTGAGCATGATTATTTTTTATTCATCATTTTAGCTCACCTCCATGCTTGCATCTTTTCAATGTTAATAGTATCTGTATAAGACTTCTCAATATTTAATGCTTACAGCTTGCCTGTTGCATGCTGATGATGTTAAGATCACATGTTTGATCTCTAGAAGGCTGGTTAGCTTTCCAGAAAGTTTCTATTTCACTGAAGCCTGACCCCAGTCAGCTTCCTTATAAATAGCTGTTGTTGGTTTCAGTGCCATAAAGAGCACAGAATTACAATTTTAAGGGAAATTAGGGCCAAGATATTTTAACAGACTTGCCCAATGGCATTGCATCTTGTAATTAGCAGAGGACACTCAGCATCGCAGAACATGATAAGTCAGGCTTTGTATGACTCAGGGGATACCCAGGCCAGTCTCTCAGGTCAGCGTCATCATGCCACGTTCAAACAGCACAATGTAAAAGATAATCTTACCTGTTCATTCTCCTCTTCATCACTACTTAGCTTAAGGTCATCTTCTAGCATTCTGGAAGAAGGAACAAAGAAGTACAGATACTTAGCAAATTCAAAATAATTTACCAACAAAGTATCTGAATTAGAACAATGTTTCAGTAACAAGTCTATTTGATTTACTAACTTAAAAAAGTGTTCATTTTAAGCCATTTTTCTGTGATGTACTTAGAAGTAACAAACTGCCACATCATGAAAATTTACCTTCATAATAGTCCTAGGATAAGATGGGCTGCTTTTCCTTGTGAAGTTTAATCCCAAATTATTTGTTCAGTGTTTCCATGTGGCAGATGCTGTACTATGTCTCTGTTTCCATTCATGGTAAACAGAATCAAAGGGCAAGCAGATCTCTGCCAAGAGCTGTAAGTGTGAGCTACAACTGCTTAGGTCTCCACCAGTCAGAGCTTTGGAGAGGACATCTGCCCAAGGACCCTGCTGGATAAGGAAAACCAAATAGGACAGAACCTTTCGGAAAGACTCTGAGGGCAACTCTCCAGTGCCCCCTGCATCCCTCAGATGTGTATGACAGTACCTTTGGGTCCACAAAGAAAGAAAAACAACAAAAAACCCCCAAATACTTTAAAACACTGATTTTTTTATGCTTATATGAGGATACTTCTTCATTGCTTTTAGACACGGAGATAGGGAGAGGGGAAAGGAGAGAGGCAAACCTCTATGTGAGAGAGAAGCATTGTTGGTTGCCTCCCATATGTGCCTGGCCTGGGGGTCACACGCACCCTTGCCAGGACCAGGGATTGACCCTGCACCCTAGGTATGTGCTCTGACCAAGGATCAAATCCACAACCTTTCAGTTACAGGACGATGCTCCAACAAACTGAGCCACACAGACCAGGGCCTTGTGATTTCTGATGATGATAAAATGATTTTATTATCAGCATTGCTGAATTGTTTCTTTATGGAATAGTAGTTTTCAGATTAAGCCATTTTGAAAGAAATGTCACTTAGGAACACTCTATAACAGAAATGACTGCAGAGCTGTTCTGTTGGCGGCAGGGAGAGACTTTTCGGAGGAACCCTGGCGCACCAGAGATCTATCAGTCTGTAGGCCCTTGAGCCTGTGTGCTCGAAAGGCCTCACTCTCCTCCTTGAAGTCACCTTCCAAAGACTGTCCCCTAAACTGTGCTTGATTCCTTTAAAAGCCAACTATAACCCTATCATCAGCATATGTCTCTATTTTAATTAGTCATTTCAGTGGCTTTTGGGGTGAACTAGGGACAAAAACTTGCCAGGATGGGACATGGGCGGAGTTCTGCCCAACCCAGGCTTTTTGTGCTGGGGGGAAGTCACTTAACTTCCTGGACTCAGCCCTATTTGTAAAATGAAGGTGATTCTGGGCAAACTCTAAGGTCCAATCCTGCTTTAGATTCCATAAGTCTAGGAAATAAATTTGCCATTATTTTATAAAGTAGGAAAACTCCTGTACTAAGGAGTTGCTAAGCAACTTTGACATACCACTGAAGCCATAACCATTAGGACGCCATGTCTGTGTCCTCATAGGTTACAGTTATTCTACCAGCCGTAAGACGTCTCACTCACTGATCATTAAACCCCAAGCAAACAAACATGACATCAACAAAGACTGTAGAGCTGTGTTCTCAACTGCTATGGCCATCTGGCATGTCATTCATGTTCCTTGACTCTAGGAACTCGTACATCAGGCTTCAAAGACAAGAGACACAGTGGTGATTTATTAGAGCGTTGTTTGGGAAGAGCCTAGGAGGGGGACTGTGTTTTCTTTGTCCTTGAGTCTCTGGGGACTAGCACAGTGAGGACACATGGCATAATACCAGTTTGTGGGTTGGTCTGAGCACCTTCCCCAAGACTATTTTTCACATGCCTTTCTGATGAAAAATGCCAGAGGGGCAGGGCCGTTTCTCATCTCCACCCCTTACTCCCTCTTTTGGGGTAAACTGCCAAGTGCAATTTGGTTGAATCTCACAGGCTGCTCTTTGAGCACTGGGTGTTCTAAGTGTGGGTGGTCCTGTCAGTGGATAGAAAAGGGGAGGGGAGAACACACACAATCATCATTAACAACGCCTTTGTTACATGGAAGTCATGTCAGGGGTGACTGAGAAGTTTCATCTTTATTTGGGCAATCATGTGCACAGATCTGAAGGCCACTGTCAACCAGAGCAGGAAACCCCAAAACACCCCAAAGCAAGGGAACTTAGCTTGGCTGCTAATCAGCCATGCGACTCGGTCACCACATGAAGCAGGCATTGCTGAAAGTAAGCACAACAGTAAAAATGGTGTCTCAGGGCCTCTTCTAAGGTAGAGAGTTCAGTTCAGTTTTGTTCATTTAAAATATGTGCTAAATGTCTAGACATACGAATGTGTTTCTGGTCAAATCTCACTCTGCCTCTCACATGCCCTGGTCCCAGGCAAGTTGCACCTCTGGACCCAACTTTGTCATGTCAGTAGTGAGATCATCCCCCTGGTCATCATTTCCAGAAGAAAAGCAGCCGAGATCCACCTTGCTTTGTGAGAGTAATCGCTCTACCACTGAATCTCTCTCATATATAAAAAAAGAGTCTATTATGTTTCTGGCTAATATCTAAAAACTGATGATCAAAAATAGTCTGTATTCATTAGAGATTTCAAGAGAAGTCAGAATCTAATTAAACTTCAGAATATCTTGGAGTCTGAGGAAATGGCAATGGAAACATTAAATCAAACAGACACAACACACAGCAATGCTGCTGCTCCCAACACATGCGACCCAGGCCAGGAACAGACAGTCACAGCCACCCAGAGCCCCCAATCTGTCACAGACACAATGCTGAGATAGCTGAGGCTCAGGCCATCCAGGAATATGACCTGGCCCTTTTGCTTTGCTCTGATGGCCACAGCACAGAGACCCCATGACTCAACTTCCAAAGCACAGCACTTGTTCCCATTCACTACGCGCTTCAAGTCTGGTTTAACATTCATAAAGTGCTCACTTTCATTGCTTCTTGGCCTTTTAGCTAAGATCAAATGTAGCATAAAGTGCCCACTTTTAATGCTGGAAATATCCAAGTGGCCTCTGAGAGAGCCTAAGGAGGAGTGAGAGAGTATTTGAGGTTATAGCTGAACAACAAGACATGGTCAGAGAAGAAAAGAGAACAACGGTGACAGCCACTGCACCGTAAGAACTGTCAGTACTCGGTGTGTGGCCAGGAGGAGAGGCCTGGCTGCCTCCACCAAAACACGTCAGTGTCACCGCTGTAGCTGTGCCCCCACCCTGATCCCACCCACGTAACAATATTTTTTATCATTCATCTATTTTCAAAAGGAAACAGACTAGCACAGGAGTATTAAATAAGAACAAGCAACAAACAAAATTTTTAAACCAAGAGTAAAAGAGTATGCCAATTAAGTGTTGGTTAAGCCAACACTTAGCCATGGGATATGGCTAAGTGGGGGATCTATGACTACATTTTGAAAAAAGAAGGAAGGCAAAGACTGATGCTTGGAAAGGCTGAGGAGAGTTTGGGATGGGTCACCTGCACATAAGCACAAGGTTTGTGCTTTGGCACCACGCTGGCACACCTGAGGACCCTGCCATACCCCTTCACGTCCTTCAGAGCTGTCTGAGGTGACGGAGCTCCTGCCAAACAGTCACAGCTCTCAAGGTTGAATGACTGTCCTGGCCAGGCCTGCTGAGCACTTTCTTGACGTCCCCTCATCTTATCCCTACAGCAACCCCTCTGAGGTAAGCACTGCTGGGCAGCAGGCGTGGTGGTCAGAGCATGGGCTCTGGAGTCAGACTGCCCAGGCTGAGTCTGACACTCAGCTAGCCAAATGACTGGACACCTGCCTTCAAGGTTTTCCAGAGAAGTCACTCACAATCCTTGGGAAATGCTTAGCGCAGAAACTGGAACAGAATAAGCATGCAATAGACGTTCATTTTTATTAATATTCCTTTTACCTTCGAGGGTAATGCCTTGGAACATTTAAGAAATTTGCATGAGTAACAATTTAGGAGACAAATATGTTTCTGCAATAAAGTCTTCAACTAAGCCACTTTTGAAAAGAGAAGATGATGTTCTCTAGAGGCTGTGGAGGGGGATGTACATTTTAGGTTATAACTGCCGCTGTTGTTGATTGATCTGATGTGCTGTGTCTACAGAGGATAGGAAACATGTCCGTCAGTCTGACTGCACAAGCAGATATGCGCTGGGAGCTGTGCTCAGCCTCGTGGCCAGTCCCTCAGCAGGACCCATTGCCTGATGACAACAGGGACATTGAAATAAAATAGACAATAAGATCAAACTAAGGCCAGACAGCAGAGGTGCAGCCAGTAGAGCAGAGAAACCTGGATTTACGCCCTGAACTCCCCAGGAGCTGTCGAACTGCTGTCAGGAGCACGTCAAGTCAGTGCCTGATTGTGACTTCCCAGTGAAGTCTGCCAGGTAACTGAGACCTGAAACACATAAGGCATTCAAGCAGGATTTTTCTTTAACATGTAATTAGGTGATTGAGATTCTGTCTATTTCTTACTGGGGAACTCTGTCAGACAATAGTTTCTTAGGATTATTGTCCCAGGCCCGTTATAACATGTCCCCAAACAGCTGGTGCGAAGGATCATAATGTTTTGAGCCATGGACTCAATAGTCTTAGCTTTCATGCAGAGAGGGGGGGCCTTGTGTGAATTGCGTAGAAGGGTATGATAGGAGTCAGCTCAGACTCTAAAGGAGGAATTGAGTACAAACATTTCCCCTAGCAGTTTGCTGAGTGCCATCTCAGGTGGACCTCTCTGCCTCATCACCAACAGGAATATTGGCATCCAAACTCCCTACCATTTACTAAGTCACTCACGTGTTCACCGGGTGGTGGGCAACTATCCATGGACAGCGCCTGTCTCGCAGGACTGATTCTCCTTACACACAACAGTCAAACCAGCCTTGCCACTGTAGCGATTTTTAAGTGCCTTAAAATTGTGACGCTCTGACGTAATATAATTCTAACAGAACTCAGTTGCCTCATCTGAACATATCTTCCTTCAGTAGCTCT